AAAGACCTGTATGACAAGAACTTCAAGCCCCTGAAGAAAGAAATAGAAACAGATCTCAGAAAATGGAAAGATCTCCCATGCTCATGGATTGGAAGAATTAATATAGTAAAAATGGCTATCTTGCCAAAAGCCATCTACAGATTTAATGCAATCCCCATCAAAATTCCCACTTAATTCTTCACAGAGATAGAAAGAGCAATCTTAAAATTCATTTGGAATAACAAAAAACCCAGGATATCGAACACTACTCTCAGAAATAAAAGAACTTCTGGAGGAATCATCATCCCTGACTTCAAACTGTACTACAAAGCAATAGTGATAAAAACTGCATGGTATTGGAACAGAGACAGGCAGGAGGATCAATGGAATAGAATAGAAGACCCAGAATTGAACCCCAAAACCTATGGTCATTTGATCTTTGACAAAGGAGCTAAAACCATCCAGTGGAAAAAAAGACAGCATTTTCAAAAAATGGTGCTGGTCCAACTGGAGGTCAGCATGTAGAAGAATGCAAATTGATCCATACTTATCTCCTTGTACAAAACTCAATTCCAAGTGGATCAAGGACCTCCACATAAAAGCAGCTACACTGAAACTAATAGAAGAGAAATTGGAGAAAGCCTCGAACACATGGGCACAGGAGAAATGTTCCTGAACAGAGCACCAATGGCTTGTGCTCTAAGACCAAGAACTGACAAATGGGACCTCATAAAACTGCAAAGCTTCTGTAAAGCAAAGGACACAGTCAATAGGACAAAGCGGCAACCAACAGATTGGGAAAAGATCTTTACCAACCCTACATCTGATAAAGGGCTAATATCCAAGGTGTACAAAGAACTGAAGAAATTAGACTCTAGACAATCAAAGAACCCTATTAAAAATGGAGCACAGAGCTGAACAAAGAATTCTCAACTGAGGAAGCTCAAATGGTTGAGAAGCACCTAAAGAAGTGTTCAGCATCCCTAGTCATCAGGGAAATGCAAATGAAAACAACACTGAGATTCCACCTCACACCAGTCAGAATGGCTAAGATCAAAAACACAGGTGACAGCACATGTTGGCGAGGATGTGGAGAAAGAGGAACACTCCTCTACTGTTGGTGGGATTGTAAGCTGGTACAACCACTATGGAAAGCAGTCTGGTGGTATCTCAGAAATTTGAACATAGTGTTACCTGAGGACCCAGCTATACCACTCCTGGGCATATACCCAAAAAATGTTTCAACATGCAACAGAGACACATGCTCCACTATATTCATAGCAGCCTTATTTATAATAGCCAGAAGTTGGAAAGAATCCAGATGCCCTTCAACAGAAGAATGGATCCAGAAAATGTGGTAGGTACATTTATACAATGGAGTACTACTCAGCTAGTAAAAACAATGAGTTCATGAAATTCTTAGGCAAATGGGTAGAGCTGGAAAATATCATCCTGAGTGAGGTGACCCAATCTCAAAAGAACATACAAGGTATGCACTCACTGATAAGTGGATATTAGCCAAAAAGCTCACAATACCTAAGACACAACGCATAGACCACATGAAACTCAAGAAGAAGAAGAAAGACCAAAGTGTGGGTGCTTTGGTCCTTTCTAGAAGGAGTATCAAAAGTTTCAACCAGAGCTCCCAAAGTCTAAACCTCCAGGCTGACAGCACCAAGGGAGGGACTCATGTCTCCACCTATATAGGTAATTGAGGGTGGCCTTGTCAGACATTAGTGGAAGTGGAGGGTCATGGTCCCCGAAAGTTTGGATTCCCTAGTGTTGGGGAATTGGAAAGCAGGGAGATGGGACTGGGAGGCTGTTTGGAGCACACCCTCATAAAAAAAGGAGGAGGGGGTATGGGATAAGGGATTTTGGGGAAGAATGGGAGAGGAGATAACATTGAAAGGTAAATATGCAGAATACCCATTAAAAAAAAAAACAGATAAAGGGTCTGAAAAAAAGAGAGAGAGAGAGAGCTTACTTAATTTATGTTAATTTCAAAAGTCTCTAGGAGATGCTAACTGCCTAAGATCTTATTTTAAGCTCTCCACAAAAGAATTTAAGTCTCTGTTTAATATTCTCAAGAGAGATGTAAATCCTAATTTCTCTCAACAATTAATTGACAAAAGAGAAGTAATCTCACAAAAAGTAGAAGAAGCTATTATTAATCGATATATTATATGATCTGATTAGTTGTCAACTGTGCTATAACAGTCTTTTAATAAAAGAGATTATTAATATAGATTTATATTTCTTTAAATAATGTCCGCATGACTCTCTTAGTGTGGAAGGAGCGACTGTTGGTGTTTCTGCCCTGATTCTACAAGAACTCTGAAAATTTGGCTTTAAAAACAAAAGAGGGGGAACGGTACCCCCCCAAGAAGGAGTCACCCTGAAATACTCTCCATCATGCCTTGTTCACTTTTAACTCTCTAAAACTGAAACCTCATGGCAAATGTGCTGCTGACTGCCTCTGGAATCACTGAAGTCAATAAAAACTATGCCACAGATATGGGGAGAGACCCTCTTACCCTTAAAGGGAATGGCTCAGACCTAGTTCCCTTATGGGGCTGAGGATTGATATCCCTGTTTGATACCACAGAAGGCACAGCTAACCGGCTACCAAAAAGGTTAATGAAATAAATAGATACCCCCACAAAGCCAGGCCCAACCATAAATAAGATGAATAACAATTTACATCCAGGGAAGAGAAATCTCCCTGAGATTTCCCTTCTTTTTCCTTTCCAGGTAAAAATGAATCACCTGTGATGTCTGCTGTTAGAAGTTCTAGTCCAGATGCTGGCCTCTGAACTTATACTACTGAGACCTTCGAAGGGCCATTGACAAGAACATCAAACAGCTAGAGATTAACATCACTAATCTGAAGAAATCCCTCGTTTTGCTGTCTGAAGAGACCTCCAAATATCACAAAGATCCTTATTGGACTTGATTTACTCTATTATAATAGAAAAGGCTGTGTACAGCTCTTGACTGTGTACAGCCCTTAAAGAAGAATATTGCCTTTACATAGACAAGACTGCAATGGTTAAAGAGAGCATGAAAAAGGTCAGAGAAGACCCTGAAAAAAAGTCAGAGAGCGAAAGAGAAAAATGAGTGCTGGTACAAGAATTGGTTTTCAGCCTCTCCAGGATTGTCAACCCTACCTCCTCTCATCTTGGGACCATTATTTGGGTTCCTTTTGCTTATTTCTGCTGGTCCCTGGGCCTCAAATAGGCTGACTAACTCTGTGAAACAACAGATAAATAATTTGGTAGCAAAACCTATTCAGATACATTATCGTAAGTTAGCTATGGAGGACCATGAGACTCAAGATGAGGTTGTTACTTTATACAGGGAGTTCTCAAAACCCATCTCCACCCAACCTAAAAGAGGGGACTTCCGCCCTTAGACCAAGCAGAGAGGGGCCACCCAGAACCCCCTCTGACAGGTGACCTGAATTCTTGCTTAGGCTGCGAGGCTAAGCACTGCAAGGGAATATAAATAAAAGATAAAAATATCTATCTGGGTTCCCTGAGGGACAAGCCTGACTGCATAGGGGTTGATGTTAAAAGTATCCCCTCTCCAGGAAAAAGACATCGGGATGGGTATGGTCCTCATGCCTCACTGGACAACGACAGGGGGACCGGAGCCACTACAAAGTACCCTTCAGTTACTAGAGGTCAGGCCTCTATCCCCACCTTTGCAAGATTAGATTCGCCACAGCCCTTCTATACTTAGAAAAGGGAGGAGATGTCAGGGGCATTCCTGCTTATACACTGAAGGCCCAAACTCAGCCATAGGCCTAAAATCAGCAATAGGCCTGTCATACATGTATACTAACACCAAGTCTTGGGTCTCTGTGGATAAACACTGAAACAGACGGCTATAAGCTATTGTAAACAGGCAGTTTTTGTGACAATTTACCAGCCTGAGTAGTCATAGACCTTGTAAATAGGTAGCCTTGGCAGATAATACCAACTCAGATAAGGACAAGTGAATCATAGGCAGAGCCATAGCGACCTGTCCCCTGAACCCTTGTCCAGCCGATACCCTGTTCTGAAAGATATCTGTATTCCCCCTGAACACCCACACTCCAGTGTCATCCCCTTCCCCACGTCCTGCCTTTCTGTGTTTATAACCCCTGTATGAATGAGTATAAATTACAATTTGAAAAAAATAAATAAATTATATTAAAAAAAGAAAAAAAAGAAAAAAATAGAAAAGAAACTACACTCCTGCACACACACACACACACACACACACACACACACACACACACACAAATAAATAAACAAAAGCTAAGGAAAAGTATTATGTCTTAATCACAAATACTAGTGCTTAAAAGTCTAGGCCAAATTGAATCTCTCAATTCAAAATGTAAATAATGGAAATGTAACATAGATGTTGAGTTAAAACAGTAAATGACTTAAAACCACAATCTATCAGGACAGACTAGAATAACTTTTCTGTGTTCTTTTAAGGTTATTATCCATTTTCATGTTTTAGATCTGACTGATAGAAAATTCCTTCCATTTACCTTTCTGTATTTTTATTGGTCCTTCTATCACCCACATTAGTAGGCAAAAGTTGACTGTGCTTTCATTACTCACACTGGAGCAGTGTAGTTCCAGCTCAAATATTTTGATTCGGGATCCTTGGCTTGACTGGGTTTGAGGCTCGGTTTTGTCATGTGGCCTGGTCCTTTCATTTTCCCGTTTTATGAAAAGATTAACCTCAGAGGATTACAGTGATGCTGCTTTAAGTTAATATATGTGAATAACATGTTACTTTATTACTGTTATAATTATTGTTGTTACTTTCTTTCAAGATGTGTTCAAAGTTAGAAGGTACACTCCACATTTCCTTGATGTATGAACTGTAAAAAATTGCTCATGAGAACTATTATGCAATCAAGAATCAAATTCACTGTAACACTCCAGCTAAAACAACCATTTGCCTGTGCTGTCCCTAATCCTTTTCTCTCTGGGAATTTCCCACTAGAAGCTCTGCTACGTCACCTGCTCAGTCACTGCATGAGCTGCTTCTTTAGGATCATGGCACTGGTTGACAAAGTCACAGATCTCTTGACTATTCACCATGAAGTTAATCCCATCTGTGGTGAGGACCAGGAAACTGTCGTCAGCATGGTAGAGCTGTAACCAGAAGCAAACACACTTGGCTACACACAAGACCGAATGACTCAATAATTTGAAACTGTATTCTTCAGAATACCCATCTGTGTCAGGGTTCATTGGTAAACTGAAAATGTAGCTAAGAATCAATTCCACTTAGCATAAAACAAACATTTACCTAGTGATATCACAAAAGAGGCCAGACAAAACAGCCAAATGCTGGATCTAATGTTGCCTCTATTATTTATTTGATAGGGGTTGGGAGTGGGAGAGGGACTTGTTATGCTTTAGGTCTCTTCCTTGTAAAATGAGGATAGTTTTTGTATCTCTTTTGAACAGAGGCTGCCACACAGTAAATCTTATAACGTATTTGTTTCATAAACTAAATGTGAGATATCTTTAAGACTGGAAGTCCTTCCTTAAACTATGAATGTTCATGCCCTGCCATTTGTAAAGCCCACATTATACTGTGCTGACTCTGGAGCTCTAGAGCAGGAAGCAGCAGGAGATGCAGCATGTTTGGCCAGTTTAGACTAACAGGCACTGAGCTGTACAAACGCAAGTGGCTAGCTGTTGAGCTCAGTGGAGAAGGCAAGCCCAGAATGACTTCCAAGCAGAGATAATGAATTTGAATGGCATGCTTTGGGAAAGGAAGGGCAACAGAGGCCCAGGGCAAAACAGAAGCCAAAGATTTCACCCTCATCAGGCCAGAAATAAGCATCTTACTTTAAAAGTTTATTCTTTACAAATTAATACCCCTTTAAAAACATCTTTCCTTCAGGGAATCTTCAATGACAGCCAGCAGTGTGAGACAAGTCCTCAGAAACTCTCTGTATGTGACTCAATGTTTCTGATTCCTTCTTACCTTAATCCTTGTTGTCTCTGGTTCTGCTATTACACCACTGGCTTTAAGATCCAAATCTCCGATACTCCTTGTCATTGCAAGCCTGCCATTTACATGGGGCTGTCCCAAACTATTCCAAGCTACAAACCCACCACATTTCTTGATCCTAGTTAGGAAAAAGTAAAATTAATAGTAATAGCAATAACGTCATAATGTGCAAGAAACTGTGGCACTGGTTTAAATACCAATTTTACACATTGAAATTTAGAGCCTAGTGTGTCAAAACATATCCATAATCTAGGAACTTGAGAAGACTGAGAAGGATTTTGAGTTTAACGCCAGCCCATGCTAAACGCCAAAACTTAGTTCCACAGTAAGATATAAATGAAAAATTTAAGCCATGTATGATGTACACATCCTGATAATCGCAGCATGTGAGAGGCCAAGGACGCAGGGTACAGATGTAAAGCCAGACTGGGCTGCATGAAACCCAGACTCAACAAACCCAAAGCAACCAAAACAAGAAAATCTGCACTGAGGTAGTGGCTGTGCACCTGCTTGCAAGAGGCTCTGGTGTTTTGCATCAGCCCAGAGAGGAAAACACTGTTTCTACGGCAACTATAGCTATTGTCCCATAACAAGGTGTGGTGACAATACCTTTCTTTTTCATCCTTTCTTTCTGGGGTATGGTCAGTGGTCAGCTTCATAGGTTTTCCTTTTCTACACAAAAGAGCCCGGCTGTCTCCAACACTCGCTACCACCAGTTCAACACCATCTCTCAACAGAGCCACTGTTGCAGTAGTCCCAGAGGTCAGGAGGCTTGCTACAATATTATAAAATAGAGTATCAGTTAGCGATAGAAATGTTCAGATATGGAGTTTTTATTACAAAATAAAACAGAAGCATAATAACTTAAGGTTGGGAGGAACCATTCTAATTTAACAAGAGTTCTGCAAATAAAATGCAAACTATGAAAGTAAGGTCCTGCAGAAAAGCAAGTGGATTGCTTAAGTCTATAATAAGGCTCCATGCAAACAAAAAGGTTGGTAAACTAATTTGGTGAGCAAAGTATCAGTGTCTCCAAATGGTCTGTGTGTAAAAAGCAGAGCCAATGTAAACTAACAATTACGATGCCTTAGTGTGCCTAACGGGCGTCAAAATAAAACATGAAGGTTTCTCCTGTCTGGCTGCTATGACAGGCTGACAGATCTGCTGGGTCCACAAGGTAAGTTGCCTTTTCTATAATCAGATGGATTCTTCTCTTCTATTCCTTGCTCTCATCCGGTCAAAGTACTACCAGTTAATAGGTGAAGAGAGAAATGCAAAGTACAACCCATTTGTTCTTCAAGTACTACTGTGTACATTCTGTCCTCTCTCTCTCTCTCTCTCTCTCTCTCTCTCTCTCTCTCTCTCCACACACACACACACACACACACACACACACACACACACCCTTTTCCCCTTTGTTTGCTCTACACCTGAAGAAAAATTATAGCCACCCTTAGATGAATAGATCTGAGTAGTAGACAATGAAATTCGTTCCAGTTCCTTGTAAACGTGGTATAGTTTTAACACGACTAGCTCCAAAAGTATTCAATCAGAGAAGCTGCAGCCAAAAGCAGATGAGCAGAGCCAGCAGCAACTTATGCAGCCTTGCCTGGAATGGAACATGTCAGCCATGTGCATTTTCTCTGCCATCAGGTAAAGCCTAATGTTACAAGGCTCGAGGTAGCTACTCTGTCTTCTAACCAAGCAAGCTGCATCTGTGTGTCTTTCTTTGATTTAGTCTAACATCAACTGTTCGTTTACCACTTACTAAAAATCTTTAAGGTGCATTGAGCCTTGTGGAAAGTGGGAATGCAGTGAAACTATGAATCAAAGAACAATAGAGCAAAGTGGAGGAAACTGAGAAATAACTTAAAGTGGGAATTATCTCTAATAACACTTGTTAATTCTTTAAAACACTGCCAATTTTTAAATTTGATTAACTATTAAATTTTCTATTAAAAATTCCATATCCAATCACTTGACTGCCTCTCTATGTAATAATCTTTGTAGAAAGCCTCCTGATCGTGCAAAGATGACTTTTACTCTAGATGATTTTAGAAAACTTTAATTGATTTAACTGATAGTCAAATCTTTCCAAGAATTTTTAAAAGACAACTTTTAAAACTCTACCAATAGCGCATTTTATAAAGAGATGAATGCATTTTTCGATAATTATATTAAAATCCCTGCTTTAGTCAGAAAAATGAAATGGAAAAGCATGGATAAAGTACACTCAATCATTTGTAGTCATGCTAAATTTGCTCTACTGAAACATAGCAGCTACAGTTGGACTATCTTCCCATTTATCTCTTGATTTTGGAACCATTAGGTCAAAGCAAGGTTATCACAACAATATATATATATATATATATATATATATATATATATATATATATATATATATGTATGTATGTCAGTGCATGACATAAATGTTTTAACAAAAACACTAGAGATGCTTATTATTACAAGTGTTTAGCTTTCAACTTGAGATTAGTCAGAAGACTGTACCAGTGGAATCTTAACAGGTCAATCCACTACTTTATTTTCAAAGGTAGGAAAAAGAACACAGGCATCTATTAGTAAAGTCCTGGGGATCCTGTACTCTTCATGTTAGCCATCAGCAACAGAGTTTTATACGGTGGTCTTTAATTGAGGACGACAAAAGAATTAACATTTTGTAAATGCAATTTCAGTTTGGGTTGTAGTTCCCAGTTCTCTCACCTCTGAATTCAAAAGAGCTTGGGGTTGTCTCAACTCACCTGCACAGTTTCAAAATATGAGGATATATGAGGAAAGTGTTAAAGCTAAGCATTGATTCTGCTTGCGATGTGTGGAAGACTGTAAAGAATACAGAGTGAACCAGCACTTATTTTCATTTAACTTAGAGGTAAAAATTCTCACTTTCTGCCCTCCTAACACCGAAACTATAAAACTAACACTTCTTTTTCTGAGCCTTGACACCCCTTGGATAATTTCTTCTGCAAGTCATCTCAACTAATAGGACAAGGAGGATGCGGGGACCCTTCCAGTAGTTCAGACTAGGAACTGCTGGACTCCTTCACCTGAGACAAAATTAAGCAGACCTCTCTCTCTCCACTGAAGCCCAGCATAGGGGATCCACAGGCTCCAGGCTTACAGCTGCTGAGCAGGCACCGTTCTCTGCCACAAACGACACACAGAGGCAAACGGGAATGTCACCCGGAAACCATGCTCAAACATAACAGACCTGCAAGACAAGGGGAGCCGGGAGAGAGCTGCAAAGTAAGGGAGGGGTTCTCCTGGGGAAAATGTCACACTAGCAATATTCCAGGAGCTTCCAAATCAATGAGTTCAAAACTCAGTAAAGTTAATGGTTATTGATCATTCAAAGACAGAAAAAAAATTATTTACATGTGCATGTGTACAAAAGTAGAGCAGAGGTGACACTGACATGCATCTGTATATGTACACACACACACACTTAACAGCTGATCTTGAACACAGGAAAACCAGTATTTTTGAGACAGAAAAAATACATTATAAATTCTGTTTGTAGCAATATTAGAACCATCCCCTAAACAAAATAATTTGTATTTGATAAGTAATACATAGAGAGTGTATGTGAGCTATAGTATATATTAACTGACTAGGGTTTCAACAGACACGGAGAAGCAATCAAAGTGGTTCCTATGACAGAAACAGAACATAAGTCATTTGTTCATAGCATATTTGTTCATAGCAAGACAGGAATTTAGCATGGAGAACTTTTTCCAGTTGGATAACTTAAATTTGTTGCTTACATGAAGGCAGTGTGGATTTTGACTGATGCATATTTACATGTCTATGTAATCATAAAGGAGTATTTCTGCTCTTCCCTCAGTGTTTCAGGTCATTAGAACAGAAAAAAAGGGGGGCTGGTGAGATGGCTCAGTGGTTAAAAGCGCTGACTGCTCTTCTGGAGGTCATAAGTTCAAATCCCAGCAACCACATGGTGGCTAACAACCATCTGTAATGAGATCTGATGCCCTCTCATGGGGTGTCATGTAAGCTACAGTGTACTTACATATAATAAATAAATAAATAAATAAACCTTTGGGCTGGAGTGAGAGGGTTGGAATGAGCGGGAGGCGGGAAGGGAGGAGAGAACAGAAGAAAAATAGTCACAATTTGAACAGCAACAGAACGAAAAAATCTAATGTCACCCCCAGTGATAGAGCTTTGTAGATAATAATCCATTATCAACCAATGTTGCTGAACTATTTATTAGAAATGGGTGTTCTTGACATGTATGATTCATGAAATGAATTAACCAAAATGAAATTAACGGCCTGAAGCAGTTAACAACACAATAAGAACGACTCTTCAAAGCTGTTCACATATGGTGACCTCCAGCATAAGAGGAGTATTCAAAATTACTGTGCAGAGCCACAGGTATAGCTCAGTGGCAAAGCACTTGCCTAGCACGCCCATAGCCCTGGGTTCAATCTCAGCACAGAAAGCAAATTTGCCTTTTTGTTCTTGATATCTTGGAGGTTAGTTTCCTACAAAAAGCCACATGTGAATATCAGAATTTGAAGCCCACGGTGGTGCCCATCAATAGTTCCCACTCTGAGTCTGTGCAATTCTCCTCCTGGCCTGTCATCCAAGGAGCACTGCACTTTCCACACATAAGCATGGAACACTTCAAGCAGTTCCAGTATAGATCGCACTAGGATCTGTGTTTTCTGCCATCCACTTTGTTTTAAGTGGCTATTTGTATAAATAAATAAATAAATAAATAAAGTGATGGTATATTTTAATCAACTGGTTGGCTTCATCAAATGTGAAGAAAATACATGACATAAATTGAATTTAAAAATTTTGAAGGTGATGCCAAAAAGGTTGGAGATGTCTAGACTGTATGCATGAGGTCTGTTAAAGAATAATCCATACTTCCTGGTCTTACAGGAAGGGCTCAACAGAAGTGAAAGTAAGGCAGCTGTAAGGAAATGAGAAGACTGTAAGTAGGGAGGGTAACTGTGGTCCTATAGAATGTTTGCTAGATAGCAGATAGCGGTGACTCTGGACACCCCTCCTCCAAAAACACACAAACACATACAACTCACACATAAGCGCGCACACACACACACGCCACAAGAGTGCTATCTACTTTTAAAATATTGATAGTCCTTCAATATTTCAGTTAAAAATTTAAATTTCTTAATTTTAGATGACCTTGAAACCTTAAGAGATAGAGCTATTTTCTTTTACTCCGATCCTGAAACGCTAGCAAACAGTATTCTGTCTTCAGTGACTTTTATGTATTTGATAAATCGTTCTCTCAATAGGCAGATTTTGTCATCTGGAAGATCTGTACAAATACATCTTTAAAATAGTCCCAAGACTCTGATTTTTAAAAAGCATAAATATGCACACAGAGCATAAGAGAACTGTTCTAACACTTTGTAAACACAGCATACCGTACACCGCCCTATCTTGTTCTCTTACGCTGTGAAGCAAATGATCATTAAGAAGCAGAATACATTTTAAGACAGCTTCATGCAGTTCTGAGATTATCTCAAAGGATGACAGAGGAACTAAATTAAGCAATCTAACTTAATTTTCTTATTAGAAATAAACGATATTTTAGTTTTTTATGTAACTATTTGATTTGGTTATGTGAGTGATCTAGAGTCTCTTTAAGATATACATGTTAAATGTTATAAGTTCAAACCCTCCCGAATTATAATGATCAAAGATAAATATTTTAAAATTTGACACAAGTCTAGTATTGACGGATTAGATCAATTCTTACAAAGCTTGTTTGTACATACATATGGTTAATAAATTTTAGGCTTGGCCATATGCAAATGTTCTTGAACACTGTGTTCTACAATCCATGGGCAGTAAATACAGTTGTCTGGAGAACACCTGAGGCATAACACTGACACTTTAGCCCATAAATATTGCAGTTATGATGCAGCCAAATTCACAGCCAACCTAATAGTGGCTAAGAACATACCATAACCACTCTTGTTGTGAAAATGCTAGCTGTAACAGTGTGCACTTCTCTTTGTGAGTTTGAAGCCAGCCAGGTTTACAGCCAGTTTCAAGCCAGCCTGGGCTGCTTATTGAATCTTGCCCCAACTCCCTGCCCCCTACTTCAAAAGTAAAACTTTGAGAAAGTGTTTCACTTCTTCATGTGTTAGAACAAAAGCTAAAATTTAAACAGAAACTTCACCCTCTGTTAACTCCTCTTTTAAAAAAGCAGAGGGGAACTTTAGGGAGAGTGGTGTCAAAGGAAGAAGAAGACAAAATAGCTTCAAATAATCTACCAAGTGAAAACTTTATCTCTAGAAAAATGGAGAAAGAATGGGTTATATAAGGTGTTCAGTGGTAGAGAGCTCTTGTTATTAAATATGCAAATGAACGAGGCCCTAATATGAACGATTCATTTCTTCCCTTTGAGTTGAAACAACTTGTGTGTGAAATGGAGAAATTTTCGGTTCAACTGAAATGGTGCTTCTGTTGTGCATTTTTCTTATTACAGAAAAAGACAGAGACAAACTCAACATTCCCATTTCCAGTCAGTTAGGAGGCATACATCGGATGGTGGCTGCAGAGGCTTTTGAAGTTAATATTAGTACAAATCCATTCTCGGTGAGCTAACTACAAAATACCGGATATCTTTTCCTGAAGTTATTTTGATAAATTTAGTCAAAACTAGAAATATTAATTTCAAACCTGTGTATTAATTTTATACACAGATTTAAAACATTTTTTCTAATCCACCTGCCATGTCCTTCCTTCGGATACCAGTTAGCCACTTTCTACCATAGGATCTACTGGTAATCTTCCCCACTCCCAAATTACTTATGTTGTGTGTGCATGCATGTATCTGCATTGAGTGTATGTGGACAAGCCATGGCACAGGTGTGAAGGTTGGAAGCCAAGATGGAAATTGTTGCTCTCCTTTCCCCACTGAGTCCGGGAATAGAATTCCGATGGGGAGGCTTGGTGGCAGGCGCCTCTACCCACGGAACCATCTACATGATCTCCTGTTTCTTCTTATAGTAATGCTGAACAGTTATCAACCTATCAGATGTAATTCTACTGCAGTATTTGGGTTGCTGGTGAGGTGGTGGTGGAGGATGGGAATTCTCTTAATATGGACATCTTGTCCATAAAATTCAAATCAAATAAATCAAAACATTTAAAAACCTTTTTTAAAATTAAAAGTCAGTAATAGAACCATTTTGGAGCTTTCCCTTCTAGGTTTTTATTTAACATTTTATTATTATTGTTGTTGTTGTTGTTATTTAGTTTGGATTGTAAACAGCATTTAAAATGATTCTTTGTATAAAATTATTTCTACAGAAAAGCTCCACAAATAAACATGCATTAAAACTCCCGCCACTAAAGACTTATTTTTTCTTCACTTGCCAATCCTAGAAACTGAGGAAACATGACTCACTTACCATCAGCAGACAGATGGGCATAACTTGCAAAGGCTTTATCTATTTCTAGAAAGGCCAAGGTCAGGACAGTTTCCAAGTCTTTTTCCCGAGGAAGCAAATCCCTTAGTGGAGAGGAAAGAAAGCTATGGTCATTTTGTGGTAGGTTTCTCTTGCAGCAGCCACACCACACAATAGACCTCATGACTTTCCTCTTGGCTGCTTTGCTGAAGATCCAAGGATTAAGGAACATTTATTGATCTTCAAAGGTACTAAGTGACACTTTGAGGCAGAGGATCAGGTGCCTATATATGTATGTATACACACACAGACACACACACACACACACACACACACACACACACACACACACATATTGCCAGAGATGCAGCTTAGGCTTCCTGCATGCTAGGACTAACTAACTGAGCAGTATCAAACCTCTGGCTTTAAAGGCATGAAAATATAAGAAGTCTGGGGAGGTGGTGTGGTGGCCTGCCTGTCATACTAAGACTTTGGAGGTGAAGGCAGAAAGATCAGGAGTTCAAGGTCATCCTTGTTTGTTACAAGCAGGTCTAGCCAGACTGGGATTATATGACAGTATCTCAAAAAAACCAAACAAGGCTGTCTGATGACACAGTGAAGTGGTAGGGGCTTTGCCTCACATGCAAAATAAGTAGAGAAAACAACAAACTCCAAGTCCCTCCTCTTTTTGTAAAGTTTGATTACACTTTTATTCTGTATGATCTCATGATATGACAGCAGGCGGTGGAGGCCAGAGGACAATTTTTGGCAGGTAGTTCTCTCCTTCTGTTATGTGAGTCAAGACAAGCTAGGATTCAGGCTTGGCCGTAGGCACCTTATCCTCTGAGCCATCTCAACCTTAGTGCTTGCTCTCAAAGAATTCTCAGTACTGCAAACCCGATGGGTTATGAAGTCCTTCATGTGGGCTTAAATCACTGAGTCTCTCCATCGAATGAGGTAAGTCATGTAAAAAAAAATCAACTGAGAAACTGCCTTTAACTAAACAAAGGAAGGTTAAAAAAAAATAATAGTCCATGGTCATAACTGCTACATTGTCTCCATTCTCTAATTCTAGCACATAGTGTGATTCTCAAAAATATAGTAAGTATGGTGGTTTGAGTGAGAATAGCTCTCACAGGTTCATATATTTGAATACTCGTTCCCAAGTTGGTGGAACTGTTTGGAAAGGATTAGGTGTGGCCTTTACTGGAGGAGGTATGTCACTAGGTAGGCTTTGAGGTTTCAAAAACTCACACCATTCTCAGCAGGTGCTCTTGCTCTCTCTCCCTATCCCTCTCCCTGTCACTCTGCTTCCTGTTTGTGATAATGACATAATCTATTGCTCCAACACCATGCTTGCCTGCCTCTTTCCATGTTCCCCACTATGGTCACCGTCCCCTTTGAAACTGTAAGCAAGCCTCCAATAAACTTTATTTTATAAGTTGCCTTGGTTACCATGTTTCTTCACCACAAAGTAACTAAGACAATAAATAAACCTACCTGTGCTGATTAAACTCTTCTTCAGAACCAGGAGGATAGCTCTATGTGTAAAGTGTTTGTTGTATTCAGATCCCTAGCTCCTAAATAAAGACAATGCATGTCTTTACATAGAACCCCAGGAGTGAGATCATGGTCTGGCAAAAACACTGAGCTCCAGGTAGAGTAAGAAACTCCATCTCAAGAGGTAAGGTAGAGAATGATATAAGAAGACACTGATGTCAACCCCTGGCCTACACACACACACACATACACACACACGGATGCATGCACACACAAACACATGCACACACACATGTGCACGTGTAAACAAGTAAAATTTTCTACAAGTTATCTTGGTACTTTATAATTTACTTGAAATGGATATAAATCTAGGGCTGTAGACTCTGAAACCCATTTCTGAAGTGGAGATGATCACCAATTCTAAATGCCATGTTGACTAACATTCACTGATGAAGTGGCATGTGGTCACTCAAGTAATTTGGTCCATACTGGATGTTACAGCCAAAGGGAGAACATTTCAACAAAACGTATAGAGGAACTTCAAAGCCAAGGGGACTATACATACATAACACATTTCTCCATGTGTGTGTGACAGAAGTCAGCAGCTGCAGGGCCCCCATGACCATCATACACTGCGAAGTATAGCACCTCTTCTGTCAGCTGAGCGAATCCAAATCGATCTTCATTTTCTTTCCGTTTGCCAATGAGGGAGGCACAGCCCACGTTCTCCAGGCTAATTTTGGGAATTGGTTTGCCATACTTGATGCTAGGTGGCAGCAGAATTGGCTCATCAATGCGGTTATCCCAGATCCCAAAGTTGTCCCAAGTGGCTGGCTGCCCACTTCCATCCGGATCAAACCGAGAACACCTGGGTTCTGAAATGGAACAGTAGCAGGCAGGAGTCACCTGCCAGTGGTCCTGCAGGAGGACGGAGCTTAACAACACTCTCTTCTTCACCTGGTTTCCACCACTTCTCACCAAAGTAATGAAGGCTGCTGATAACATAATGCAACTCCTAAGGCCCCAGTCACAGGAAAGACAAATAGAGCAGTAATAGAATTCCGTGAAGAAAAATGATGTGCCTAGAGGTGAGGGAAAGACAGAGTCACAGTCAGTAATTCAGAATACTGCCAATACATCACCAGCCACCAGAGACAAAAGCCATAAAGAGTTTGACATTGTCTGTGTGCGTGTGTGCGTGTGTGCATGTGTGTGTGTGTGTGTGTGTGTGTGTGTGTGTGTGTGTTAGGTACCCTACATCCTATTCTTAAGAACATTGAATCAAAAATGTACCTACCCCCTCACATTGTTTGAATTCTATTAACATTTGATAATATGCACATACAAACAACACATGCTTCTCCAATCTAACTGCTATGGCTTTGAGACATGGTTCAAATAAACATTTCGATTCAGCTGGTATGAAGTAAGGTCACCCTGTACACTTGTAATCAGCTGTGATCATACAAGGGCTGGTGATTGGGCCACACTTTGTAAGTAAATATCCTTTCTTCACATACTCAGTTGTTCTGAAGCAAAGATAATGTGAATGTTAACAATAACAACCCCTCCTAAAGAGGGGAATAAGAAAAAACATGGCTAATAGAATAGTTGTAATAACTCTGTACTCCAAGAGCAGCTAAACTTTAATGAATACACAATTTTGGATCAGAGTTTCCTTTTTGCCTTAAATATTTTTATTTATTCAGAATTTCATACAGGGTACTTTTGTCATATTCACCCTAACTTTTCCTACCAACTCCACCAAGAGACACCCATACTTCCTATCCTCTCACTTTAAAAAAATATAATTCATCAACTCCAGTTTGAGCTGCCCAAGTACTCCTGGGTGCGCGGTCACTGGAGCACAGTTGACCTATCAGGAGCCACACACACTGACTTTCCCTCCTCTAGAGGTCATCTACTGTCCATAGCTCCTCAGTGGGCACTCATGCACCCCTTCCAACTCCCCACCAGAATGCTGATTGACTTTGGTGCAGCCATCCACAGCTGCACAGACTTCTCAGTTCAGCGGGCCTGTCATATACAGAAGTCCTTTTTTCACTCTGGTTCCTTATCCCCTCCAGTGGCTGCTGGCTCTTACAGTCTTTCCACTTCCTCCTCAGAGATGGTCCCTGAGCCTTGGAGAGGGGGTGTGGTATAGATGTCAGATCTGACTTTTATGATCTGTTAACTGCTAAAGTTTGCTTTTTTACATTAGCATGGTCAGTGTCAATTGGTTCCATGTAAACGTTGCCTAGCAAAATGAGCCAGTTCCAATGGTGCTTTGTGGTAGGTGCTCATGAAGGGGTAAGTGAAACACTGGGCACTGTTAATGGCAAGCAGCCCAGATTTGTGACATTGTGATCTCTGCATTTACAACAATAGCATAGCCTCCTTTCCTCTAAGCCAGCCGCTCACCAACATCCAAGACAATGATGACTCTCCTTTCTCCTTCTCTTCTTCTAAAATGGGTCTCACTTTGTATCCTGGCTGGCCTGGAATTTTTTTCCTTTTTTTTTTTTTGTTTTTCTTTTTTTTCGAGACAAGGTTTCTCTGTGTAGCTCTGGCTGTCCTGGAACTCACTCTGTAGACCCGGCTGTCCTCGAACTCAGAAATCCACCTGCCTCTGCCTCCCAAGTGCTGGGATTAAAGGCGTGCGCCACCACTGCCCAGCTTGGCCTGGAATTTACTATGTAGACCAGGCTGGCCTTGAGTTTATAGAGATCCGCCTTCCTCTGCCTCCTGAGTGCTGTAAGAGTAATGGTGCATGCTATGATACTTAGGTTAAGACTGTATTTCTTGAAATCATTATTTGTTCTGCATTTCTATTTAAACCCAATCCTAAACCTTTCTTGGCATTTAGAGAAATTATCAGGGAATTCTAATATCTCTATACTTAGGGATGTATTTCTGATACTTTACCATACACACCAGTGCTGAGCAAAGACCCTTCATTACAACAGTTTGTTCTATTACTTTACAAATGAAAAATTAACTCATGAGGCTAAGATTTGACAATGCTGAGAGAAGATTATATAGTTATTATATTATTCTCAACTACATAAGTCAGAATTGTGTCTGTAGTGGCTTGTGCCTGTAGACCTAGCTACTGAGGACAACGAAGAAAGAAATATCATTTTCATCCAGTGCAATCTAGAAAACACAGCAAAACACTGTTTCAAACAAACAATCAAAATTATTTCATAATAAAAATGAGTTTAAAAAATATATTTCTTCAAGGCCTGGAGATATGACTGTATCAATCAACCTCTCCAAAATGCATAAACAACACACACACACACACACACAGAGAGAGAGAGAGAGAGAGAGAGAGAGAGAGAGAGAGAGAGAGAGA